GTCAGATCCTCGTCGCAAATTCTGTCGAGCACAATGCACAGGCTCGTCAAATGCGATGCCCGAATGCGGAAGTAGGAAACTTTTCGGGTCCTCAGTGCAAGTGTTAGATGACGAAGGTTGTCGTAGCTCAAAGGAATGAGGCTTTCAGGGATGTCGCCAGTGTGTTTGAAATTGTGTTGGTGTTCACTGGACAGGAGGTACATAGATTCGAGTCTTTCTGCCAAGTGTGTATCTCTGAGGACGGTTTGAATGATCTGTATAGCTCATCAACACATGTAAAGGACCCCCAAGCAGATGATGGAGGTAAAATGCAGGCAAGTATTCAAAAATGACCATTGGACGGTTGAGGAGTCGGACTCACGTGCATAGGGTCAACAGCCTCGCTGTAAACCGTGCCGACCCACGCCTTTTCACCTGCATCATTAAATGTAAGGCTGAGGCTTGCGATGACACAAACCAGATGGCGGATCTTGGGGGCCAGGCGAATGATTGCGACCAGTGTTTCCGAGCGGGTATCTCGAAGCCATGCGCAATGCGCATGAAATTCGTCTCTTCGAGAATCGGCGATGACACTCAAGTGATGCGTGTAGCCTTCTTCCGTGAAGAGATGGTAAGGTGAAAGAGTTAGATATGTGAGCCTAGTCGAGATTTCAGGTAACTCGAGAAGGGCAGCTAGGTTCCGCAGTGTCCCTTCTTGGCACTTTGTTGGGAGATCTTCCAGGATCCAAACGAAGGTCTGCCATGCCGCCGTACGTAGACGTCGACAGGTCAACCGAATGTTGTAGATGTCGGGCCTCTCTTGTTCGCTCCAGTAGTCAGGGTCGAGACAAGCGATGTTTTTATGACGCTGGCGAGGTATGAGGTATGCGAAGATGTGCTCATGGAGTTCCAATGGCAGGGTTTCGAGGCTTGTCATAACGAGTGAGGGCCACTTCGGTGTTGGTTGCCGGGTTGAGGCGATCAGACTACACGGAACTTTGTGAAGGACAAGGAAGATGATGGCTCGATGTGAGAGGAGTGTCAGAGTCAGCTCCAAGCTGAGGACGTTGCAGTGCCCCAGGTATGGCGTGCAGTTGCAATGCCGGAGTGCGGCACAGCCCTGCTGGCAGAGTCATCATGCCAAGAGGTGGCATGTAGCTTCGCGACTGAACTCCATCGGATCTTGCAAGAAGCGCTTTCCCGGATGCTCTAGCATTAATGCGAGCTTTATGTGGACGAAGTCGAGTGGAAGCCGTGGAGGTCATGGTGAGGTGGTAGTCACGTGGATGATGATGAAACAGGGTTAGACATACGGGGAGGCAGCTGCGCATCAGCTCGGATCAGCAAACATCACGTCGGCCATCCTCACGCGTCGAGACATCTCCAATAGGACGCCCAGCCTCGCTCGAGTCGCCCCTTCCTCGCGCACCCTCGCACTCCCTCGCGCATTGCCAAAAGCACCTCGGGCATCGCGCGCATCTTTGCGCCTGCCCTCTCTCCGCCGTCTGCACGCCGCGCCGCTGCCGGTCGTGGTTCCCCAGGCCGAAAGCCCGTCCCACCGCCGCCCCACCGCGAGTCGACGAACTGCAGCGCCGTCACCACCATCATGTCCGGCCCAGTCGCAGTTGCCCGCCCAGCGCAGCCTCCTCGCCTGCGCCGCGAGTCTCAGCGCCCGGGAGTTGCGCGCACTGCCACGCGCCAGTCCAACATGGAGGACGAGAGCGTGAAGCACGACGAGGCCAGGAAATATGGTATATTCACACTTCGCTACCGCTTTCGGCACACGCGCTAACATATCTCGCAGTCTACACACAGCAAGACATCCTGGCCAGGCACAAGGGCAAGCCGCCGTCGCTCCGTGTATACCTGCACCCCAAGCACTTCCGCCTGAACGACTCCCAGGAGACGCTGTCCTACCAGTCGCCTATGCGCGAGCTGCTGCAGGCCATCCGCAACAAGGAGGTGCCGCACAACATGGTCGAGGAGCTCTACGAGTTCAACACGCCTTGGTACGACGACTGCCTCATCGTTGAGCTTCACGACTACCGCTCGGCCGGCGTCAAGCCCAAGGATGACACCAACAGCACTGGCGAGGCCGGCACGAGCGCCTTCTCTATTCATAATTACAACAACTTCATCACACCCTCTCCATTCGCACCCTTTCCAGCCAAACAGGCCGATGCGAAGGCCGCCCAGGTCAACGCGCAGAGCAAAGACGGAGAAACCAAAGAAGACAAGGAGAACATGCCCGCTCCTGGTCAGAACGGGGCTCTGACCAAGCAGCCAGGCATCGCTAAAGTCGGCACAGTGGTACTGTTTCCAACGCAGCAGTCGCGATTGGCCGACATGCAGCTACTGGCCACCACGCCGGTACCAGACATGGCTACCCTCAAAAGAATGCAAGCCCAGGGCAGAGCTGGAGGCATGCCGCCGACTCCCATGACGGCAGTACCCTCCACGCCCACCTTTGCGAACGGCCCAAGCCCGAAACGCCAAAAAATGGTCCTCGACGATAGCAACGTACACGAGTTCGAGGCCGAGTTACTGAGGGCCACCTGCCCACCCCTCTATTTGGAGCCCACCAAGAGCTTCGGTGAATCGCTCGCACTTATGGATGCCATCACACATCCGAACAACAAGAACCCCGCCCCTCCACGCAAGACTCGCAAGAGGACCACCGCCGAGCTGGCTGCAGACGAGGCAGAGGCTCAGGGTCTACAGCGCTATATGTTGGCGGGCGACGAGTACCAGAGCAATATGACGGCCACAGCCGCCGGCAACGACGACAACGCTGTGCGCGCCGCTGCCAACTCCCAGACATTTGCCCGCTTCAAGACCATTGCTAACATCCGTGCAAACCATGAGGAAGCCGACCGGAGGAAGAAAGAGGAAGACGCTCGAATCGCTCAAGCTAAACGCCAAGCGCAGATGGAGGCTGAGATCCAGCGGAAGAGAGAGATCGAGAGCAGACAGCAGGCCGAACTCGCGGAGCGTCAACAGCAACAGGCTCTTCGCCAGCAAGCACATCAAGCACAACTGCAGCAGAACCAGCAGCAGAGTGAAGCCTTGCGAGCCGCAGCCGCAGCACAGCACCAGATGTCGAACGCGGTAGCCATACAGGCTACTCAGACACCCCAGTCGGCTACGCAATCTCAATTCTCGCCCACCATACGCCAGCAAACGCCGATGGCCGCCGCTGCAGCCTCGCCATCACTTGGTGGGCAGGCTGCGCATCAACTTGGTGGCACCCCGATGGTACCTACCGCTTCGAACCAGGCCATAAACAGTCCTGCTCGCCCGCCATCTGCCGTCTCTAATCACCAGAACATGATGCGCTCCGTCAGTCAGCAGCAGAACTTGAGTCGCACAGGCACACCGCACATCGTACAAGGAACGCCTGTAATGAATGCCTCCATGCCGAATCGCAACATGACGCCGACCCCGAGTCGCATGGGCCAGGGCAGCCCATCTATGGCCATGCAAGGGCAAACGCCAATGATGATGCAGACACCTCAGCCAGGTCACAACATGACGCCTGAACAGGCTCAGCAGATGCAACAACAGCGTCTGCAGCAGCAACTTCGCATGCAGCAAATGCAGCAATCAGGATCGCCAGGTAACCAGCAGCAACAATTCCAACAGCTGGCATTCCAAAAGGCTACGCAGCAAATTCAGACTCAAGGAGTCCCGCAAGGCCAGAATCCGCAGGCTTACCGCAACCAGCTCGCGCAGCACTATTTCCGCCAATTGACCCAAAATCAGCAGCAAAGTCAACAGCAGATGGCTATGCAGAATATGTCACCTGGAGCAGGCATGCAGCAGAATGGCATGCCCAATAATCAAGGGACCATGACTTTTGCTAACCTGAATCTCCAGCAGATGCGCGCGCGCTATCAGCAGCACAAGCAAACGGTCATGCAGAACTACGGCCAGAACATCCCTCCCCAGGTCATGCAACAAATCCACCAGATGGAAATGCAAATCAAGCAGCGAGAGCAGCGTGAACAACAGATGCAGATGGCACATATGCAGAACAACATGGGCGGCCAGATGAACGGCGGCCAAATGAACGGCATGCAGAACGGCAACACCCCCAACCCCATGCAAATGCAACAGTACCAGCAGATGCTCCAACAACAACGCGCAAACGCCGCAAACAATTCTCGACTCCTACAAATGCGACAACAAGCCATGGCGAGCGGTGGCCAGCTGCCTCAGGGCATGATGGGCAACATGAATACCATGAACAGCATGCAAGGTGGCGGCATGCAGGGCATGAACATGGGTAACATGGGCAACATGGGTCAGGGTATGAACATGGCGCAAATGAACCAGATGAATGGAGGCATGGGCGGCATGCAGGGTGGACAGATGAACGGTGGCATGCAGGGTATGCAAGGAATGCAGCCCATGAACCAACAGCAGATGACCCAGATGATGATGATGCGTCAAGCACAGCAACAAGCCCAACAGTTAGGACGGCAGGGTGGACAACAAGGTGGGGATATGGGATGGACCGGGTAGTCCCCTTACCCATCTCCTCCCTCCTCTTTTTGAGCTTGTTATTATTATCCTGTCTCCTTTCCTTCTTTGACTGCATCATCATCATCACAGACATTTGGGTCGACAAGCTGTGGGACAAAAAGGTGTTTTGGGCGCGGGAAAAGTGTTGGTGTTTATTCTTCAAAAGATACCCCCGGTGTTGGGATGGTTACTTATCTTGTTACATTACGATAATCACGGTCGGCATGTTTGGGGTGCATTTGGGGACAACGGATCGGCATAATTGGGTGGGTCTTTTGACTTGTCATTGTTATACTTCTGTAAGACCTGTATCAGACATTCCATACATTATTATGACCTTGGTGGCCTTTTTCTGACGTGCTTCTTACAGACAATCTTGATACGCGTATGCTGTACACTCTCTGTCGTATCTTGCATCTTTAATCCGTACTTCTCACTGACAAGTTTAGCATACTCATGCTGTACACCCTCGGTTATCACCTGCGTCTTACGTCCATTCAGTTCTTCCCCTTGCCTTTTCCCTTTGCCTTCCCCTTCTTCCCACCAACCTTGGCGGCTTTTTTCTCCTCCACTTTGCGCTTTCCAATAACCTCCCCACTCGCCGTCTCGTACCCATGCGCGAACTTATACTTGCAGTCCCCACACGCCGCCGCCCCTCCCAAGGGACACGCAAAGAAGTACAGCTTCACATCCTTGATGCAGAAGTCACACGTTGCCGTACCGTCAATCCTATGCCAGCCCAACTCCACATACTCGGATTTGGCATCAGGTCCTGCACCAGCAGCCGTCTTTGCGTCTGTGTGGAGTTGTCGCGCCCATATGTGCGCCAGGCGGACGCGGCGCTGTATGCGTTGAGTTTCTGCGTCCGCGGTCTCGGAGAAGAATTGTTGCATGTATGTTCGGACCATCAACTCTTCCACCTGGCGCGCCTTCTGCTCTGCGAGCTTCTGCTGTACCTCCAGTGCTGCGAGGTACTCCTGTGCTTTTCGCTCTTGTTCAAGGCGATGTTGCTCTCGGACTTTTGCTTCGCGCTCTTCGGCCTCCCTTTGGCGCTTTTCGCGGCGCTGCTTTCGCATAGTCTCTTGCTCTTCTTTCCATTTCCGCAGTCGCTCTTCCGCAGCTATAGCTCGCTCTTTCTCGGCACGCTCTGCTGCTTGTCGCGAACGCTCTTCTGCAAGCTTCTCCTTCTTCTCTCGAGCAGTTCGTTCAGCATCTGCCCGAGCTTCATCTTCTGCTTTGCGTTGTCTCTCCTCCGCCTGGCGCTGTTGTTCCCTCCGTACACGCGCTGCTTCTTCCTCAGCGTCAATGCGGTCTATTTCTTCCTGCAGTTCGTATTCGGCGTAGTTGTTGCGGTACTCCTCCCATTCTTCCCGGATGCCTTCGTACAGCGCGTTGTATTCGTTTCGTTCTTCGGGATATCGCAGTACTTCAAATGCTTCGTTCACCTATATCTCATGAGTCCGCTTATCACTAAGCTTCGCGGGCGAGTGCTCTTACACGTCTGAACTCGACAGCATCTATAGTGCGACCGGGTGCTTTCTTGTCAGGATGATGCTGCAGCGCTAGTATGCGGTAGGCTGCCTTTATGTCTGTTGCTGTGGCGTATTGAGTCACACCCAAGTCGAAGTAGTAGTCTGCCGTCTCAGGCTCCGTAGGCTTGCAGTTGGGCATCTTCGTAGATTTGGCTCTGACTTCTCGTAATGCTCTTTGGCGCGTCGGGCGTCGGGCGTCGGCTTCGTGCGCGTTGTTGGGAAGTTACAATTGCTGTACAATGAATGTGAAGCGATAGAATGAGGAAGAAACGATAGAGTTAACAGCGCTTGCGAAAGCTTCGCAATCGCGTCGTGAGTGGTGAAGAATTGGACGGGGTGAAGACGAATAGGGAAGGAAGGAGCGACAAGGCAGGAGCGACAGGGTGTGCCGCGTACCGAAGTGAGAGAAAGAGACGAGAGGGCAAATTCTCATCTGAGCATCTCTGTATTCGATTATCGCGCTTCCACCTATTTCCGATACCACATCCTCGTCGTCTTCGTATGTCTAATCTTTTTCTGCAACTGAAAGACGCCATACAACAATGCCTCAGCCGTCGGAGGACAACCCGGAACATAAATATCCACAGGAATAATCCTATCAACGCCCCTCACCACACTATAACTATAATGATAGTACCCGCCACCATTCGCACAACTCCCCATGCTAATCACCCATCTCGGCTCTGGCATCTGGTCATAGCACTGCCGAACAGCGGGAGCCATTTTATTGGTGACTGTGCCTGCAACGATCATCACGTCTGCCTGGCGAGGGGACGCGCGAAAGATGATGCCGAGTCGGTCTTGGTCGTAGCGCGGCGTGGAGCAATGCATCATTTCGATGGCGCAGCAGGCGAGGCCGAAGGTCAGTGGGTGGATTGAGCTTTGTCGAACCCAGTTGAGTATTTGATCCGTGGTCGTTCTGGAGTCTGTCAGGAAGTGTTTGGATATGTCGGGGAGAGTGTGGCTTACAGGACGTGTTCGACAACGCCCCTGGGTTTGACAACGACTGAGGGGAGGAGTGTGTCGCTGCGCTGACGAGCTCGTTCTAGTGTCTCGTGACTGGGCAAGCTGGTAGAAATGCTACGACATGCTGTATGGCTAAGTCGAAGATGTATGGGGTGAGGTCTTAACGTAAATGCTGGACACTGTCAGTTTGATTCATTCAAGATGGAAGGAGTGAGATGTTACCGAATGCGCAGTAGCTTCTTCGGCTTACGAACGCTCGTATACTCGACATGACGATAGGCAGTATCTGACAGAAACAAACTCATTCTTGCAACAGGATTGTTGATACACGACGGTATGGGGAGAGCATCGATGCTGCGTCACGTGGTCGGCCCTTTGCGGTAAGGTGGCCGCAGTTAAAGCCCACATCAGCGGAAAGCCCACATCCTGAAAACCCACATTCAACCCTGGAAAGCCCACATCATGGGCAGCCGCGTCAACAACGAAAGACCAGTCAATGCCAGACGCCATTGAGACAAACACGGGCAGCATATCGCATAAATGTAGCACGTGCAGCAAATCCTTCTCGAGCAACAGTCACTTGCGACGACACGAGTCGGCTCGTAAGTTGACCATCCGACATGCCACTTAAAGCTTACTCAACACCAACAAGATACACGCGATCGTCTAAACACATGCACCTTCTGCAACCGCACGTTCGTCCGCCAGTAGGTCTTCGCCTGTGTTGGGTAAGCTCGTGAGACCCCAACGTTGACATTGCTTAGCGACGTCCTTAGAAGACACTCAAAGTCATGCCAAAAACGAGGCGAGCACGATGAGATAGCCTCTGCCAAACCAGGACGACGAGGCCGGCTTAGAACGAACGAAAGCCGTGCACAGCTGTTACACGAAGATGCTCATGCTACCAGTGCCAGTCATTTGAGCCGCGATTCTACTGCTAGAGTGGAAACCGCCCAGAGTCTTCCTTCCTGCCCCATCACATTCCTATATCAATATACAGACCCCCGCCGCGAGTCGATACTCAGTGCTTTCATTGGCGATCCATTGACTGTACGGTCGTCCAGATGTCAAGAAAACAACGATGCAGACCATCAGCTTTTCGACAGGGATGTGGCACTCTTCGGCATCTTCTCAGACTTCTTCGTGTACAGCGATTTAGACATCAGTGCTTCAATACCACCGGCACCCGGGAGACCCCAGACGACCACGGTTCTCCAACCTAGGATTGACGAGCTATGTTCTCAGCTCTTTATTTATAGCCAAACATGTCGAACGGCACACTTCAATCCCGAAGGTGCTTTCCCCGTGGTTGCCGCGAAAGCAGTCTTTACAGCAGAAAACTTCGAAGAGTGTATCTGGGCTTACTTCACCGTCTTTCACCCCCAACAGCCTCTGATTCACTGGCCGACCTTCGATATGCACAAGGTCTCGCTACCCTTGTTACTTGCTGTCGCCTTTGGTGGATCGGTACATTGCACACCCACAGACGGCGCTTTGTCATCTCGCTCCTTCTTCCATCTGGCCGAAGATTTCATTTTTGAGCATCTACGCGATGTGGTCGCAAAACCCAATCTCGGGCACGATCCTCGCGCTCTGGAAGCAGTGCAAGCTGCATCACTAATAGTGGCTCTACAGAGTACTTTCAACAATGAAGCCACGCGCAGCCGAGTCGAAATATCTCGACACCCAGAAATTGTCGCTGCAATGAGATCGCTCAAGTTGCTCGAACCAACAATCACAGTGAGGTCTCAAAACCAAGTACCGGAGTGGAATGCGTTCATAGCAGAGGAGTCTAGAGTGAGAGCTGTACACTTCATCTTTGCTATGGATTGCATGGCCACCTTCTTCTTCAGCTCGGTTCCCAAGATTGCTATAGCGGAGGTCTCCCAGACGCTGCCGTGTAACGATGTGCTTTACGATGCGGCTACGGCGGAAGATTACACTCGTTTGCGCACACAGTCGAAACGCTTAGCGAGACCGAAGCCCAGTATCAAGCAACTGGTTTCTGCGTTGATGAATGAGGACTGGTCTGATGAGCAAAAGGGTCCCCTTATCGACGTCCTTGAACATCGACTTCTCATGATTGGCATATTTGGTAGGTTTACCCATCTGCATCCTCAATGTTCGTGGTCTCGAGCTAATACATCTCTGCAGCATTACATTCCATCGTATTCGTATCGCGAGCCACTCTCCTGGCTCCGATGGTATATACTAATCTAGTCCGTGCAACGAAACGCTGGAAAGAGCTATGGGATGCTCTACACGCGAAACGTGAAGCAGAGGAACAAAGGCTACTAGGCTTTGTCAAGCACGGACTAGAGATATGGTGGGTGACATGTAAATATCTTGAACTGGCACAGACCGGTGATGTGCAGAGTCGCTATATGGCGCTCGCTCCGACGGACTCGTTGGTCCATCTGCATGATTTTCTGAAGCGGTATGCGAATTGTGTGGATAGGTAATACTGATAGATGAGGACAAGGCACCAATACGAAAACACGTACTCCTTCATGGTCACATCGAATAAACACTCCCGCTTTTTACCTTCGTATATTCTTTACATATAGCCGTCGTCACATTTCTTACGTATCCACTTGCATAGAGACATAGGCGTGTATTCGATAGTTTTAGAGATGTATCATAGGTTTATGAGTGAGAAGTACACTACGGTACCTTTCCCATCAACTCTCATCCTCCGATTCCCATACTCAACCCCCTAAACAAACACCAGGCAACCATCCCTATTACTAATCCTCTCATCAAGATTAACCTCCCTCATCCTCCAATGCCCCTGATACTCCAACTCGCCCTCTAGTTTCTGCCCCCCATCCGCCAACCTCATCCCCCTCGCCGAACTCCCAAACCCACCACCCCCACGACTGCTATTGCCACCGGGCACCTTCAGATTCTGGCCCGGCCAAATCTGGTCTGGATTGGTAATATTGTTGTGGCGAGCAAGATCCTCGTAGGAGCAGTGCGAGAAGCGAGATGCAATGGCGCGGAGCGTATCGCCTTGTTGGACAGTGTACGTGTTTTCGTTGCCACCGCCGCTGCTGGAGTTTGAGCCTCCGGACCAGCGGAAACTACCGCCGTCGTTTTCGAGGATGTGGTTTAGGGATATGGAGGAGGATTGGTAGGAGCCGTCTGCGCGGCGGCATTGGGCGTGCAGAGTGTAGTCGCCATGGGCATCGAGGCGAATGTCGCGCGAGGAGGCGCTGAAGTTGCCGCCGAAGTCGCCTTGCGCGCGCTGGTTGTTGGTGTCTTGGTGGTGTTGGATGGGAGGGGGGCCTTGGTGTTGCTGTTGGCCGTATTTCTTGCGCTTTTCTTCCTCTTCTTCTTGTTTCTTCTTCTCTTTGCGCTCGTCCCATTTCTCTTCTACGGCGTCTTGGCCTTTGTGGCCTGCGAATGCTCCTGCGAGGGCGCCGATGACGGTGCCCGCTACGCCGTGGCCGGCTTTACCACCGAGGGCATGGCCTCCGTAGCCTCCGGCTGCTGCACCCGCGAGACCGCCCATGACACCGCGGTCACCTTCTGGGTCGCCCTCGCCGCCGTATTGGTTCTGATGACCTTGGTTCATCGAGTTGCGACCTGAGTTGGACGAGTGGGCTGCCGCAGAAGGGAGTTGTTGGTATTGAGGAGGCGCTGTGTCGTAACCTCCTTGTTGACCGTAGGACTGAGGGCCCCCTTGACCACCGTAGTATGCGCTGGCAGCACCATGAGGCTGTTGTTGGTGGTGAGGTGGCTGCTGGTGTCCACCCCCGCCATTGTGATTGTCTTGTCCATAGCCGCCCTGTTGTCCATAACCACCCTGTTGTTGGTAACCACCTTGCTGTCCGTATCCGCCTTGGTTGTAGCCGGAGCCGTCGTATCCAGACATGATGTTGCGTACGAAGGAATAAACTTAGATCTTGATAACTAGGTTACAATAGGTAAGGTTGAGTGTATCGCGAATTGACTTGAAGATCGAAATTCAGCGGGAGCGGGAGGTTTATTTAAAGTTGAAGGTAAAGTTCTCGACAACGTCACACTGTTTGGACAAGCACGATCCCCGCCGAAGTAGCACCTTCTTATTTATACACACCCATGACACAACACGGTGCAAGTCGTGACTGCAGTGAATCAGCCACAGTGTCGTCACCGCCACTTTTCGGCGCCAATGTGGGGATGCACTGT